TTACGGGTCGGGTCACGGGTCGGGCGGGTTGATGCAAAACGGGTTAATCCGTCGACATCTCTGGTATGGGTGAGGTGTTTGGATGTAAGCGATGGGGCGTGTGTGTGAGTATGAGTGTAGATGTAGGTGTGAATGTGGGTATACATATAGGAATGTGGTATGAGTGTGGCTGTGGCGTGTGGCTGTGGGTGTTGCTATGGCTGTAGGTCTTTGTGTACGGTCGGTGTGGATGTCAATGTATGGTAGGAATGGATCGCTATGGGTGTGAGCATAGTGGTGAGTACGGATGGGGTATGAATGTGGACATGGCTCTGAATTAATAGAAGATACTAATGCAAACCCAAATCCACACTTACACCCACAGTACGACCCCCATCTGCATTCACAACCGACACCCACCGCACTTACAGTGAAACTGTTGTTGTATGTTTTCGAGTGGTTTCGTTTCGTTAATGTGCTTGAATTCATCGGTTGAAACTTTTGTCGTGTTGATTACGTATATTCTACAAACGTTTCAAGAATTGATATTGCAGAAAATAATAGATTATATTACATAAATCTGTATTCGATTGGCTAGATTCTAGAACATATTACTGTATGTATTGATCTCCCTTTCCACTGTAATCCGTATATTATGATAGAATTTTATCCATATTAGTAGCAAAATCTTTCCTTGACTACTTCTTATGTATCATGAAGATCAAAAAAAAACTCTATACCGAGAAAATATGAATACATGACGTCTAGTATATTATAGATCATTGTGTTAGATACCAAAGATAATTTAAGAAACGAGAAGCGTGGCATGAATTTAATATTGTTTTTTAGGTGTTTTTTAGAGTTGATCAGTTAAAACTTTCAAACGAAAAATGTAACGCAGTCGGATAGAAGCGTTGAGCAAACTTAAGCATGACTTGAGATATCCAATGCAAGCCATTGTGATTTAGAATTCCCTTCCTACTACCGAAGTGTTTCATGAGTCCAAAGTAGCCCGCAATTTTATGACACCATCTGATTGGTCCCATACTGAGCGAAGCTATCGCATGATTGTGTACATGGCTGAAACAACTAGCAATAACGTTATTGTCTAGCAGCGTCTCTATACAGAAAGAAACTGTAGTATATAATGTTGCGGCACTTTGATCGGAATCGTACCAGACGTTGTCAGAGGTGCAAACTAACCCATTTTGATCTGTATGGACACTCGAATGACCAGTGATTGAAATAGAATTCTATCATCAGAGAGGATATAGAGTGCATGGCAGCCCGCTTTCACCTGCTCAGCTGGTATGCATATGATCAGGACTTTGTTCGAAACAACTGCAATCAAATGTTCCGCACTCAAACTAATCGTGTGATTGGATTCGGTTTAGAGTGTATAAAAGAAGGCTAAAAAAGATAATCACAGATCAACAGATGTATGATCTATCGACTCAATATACAGTACTGGCCCAAAGTATCTCTTCGTATCTCAGCAACTATACGAGCTGTTGCACTGAAAATTAAAGTTTTTTAGGGTTGTCGGTAAATGTAGGTCAGCAGCCAAACTCGTGTTTCAAAAGAATGAGTCAAAAGAGAGTTATTAGGCAATCGGTTCATCGCCATTGTAAACTCTATTACTTGACAACGACAGCATCATTTGAGCTGAGGTTTTCGCCATTTTAAAGCCCTGTATATTGGCTATTTCTGATAAACATTTCATGAAAACTTATCGAGCCATTGCGAAATTAGATTCATTTTACTATAGATATGGGTAACGTCGAAAACCGTCAGTTCTCAGTATGTTACTCAGAACACACTCTAGGATTGATATATGGACTTGAAATTTACAGTATAGGATACTCCGTAGATATGCAGGATTCTCTGAAATTGTCAGACTTGTATCGCCTACTGGAAATAAATGCCACTATGCTAAAGGTGCAGATGTTGTCAAAGGTCTAGATACTTGAACACTCAAGCAAATGACTTCATCTTTGGGGTGCATAAACAGCATATCTAAAGACACAGTTCTACCGAAAGCTAATCATAAAGTTCGCAACATAGCACAGAAAATGAGACATGGTTTGTTTTAGTCGTTTCTTTTTTACTATAGAAACCATTGTGAATATGCGTGAGGATTTTATCTTTTCACAAGTACACATGTACTGTCACCCTAATTCTTACGATGGTACAAATTTTGAAAACATAGATTTATTTTTTATGAGCAAATATATGTTTAATTGAATGTACAACGAATATATATTTTATTTTTATTTCTCAAATCAAATCAACAATTGATTCAACTTTTTATGCTTATATATATATATATGAATAGTTCTATATGGGTAGATGGTAATGTTGTTAATAATATTAATAACTAATAAGTTATCTTTTCTTTTCTTTGTATTTGTTTATTTCATTTTTGGAGTTTTAATTTCTTTAATCTTTTCATTCATCATTGTCGAATTTTCGGTCATTCATCTTTCGGTCATTATCAGAACGAATGCAACATGACCATTACTATTAACAATAAAATATTCATTGTTTCATTGTTAATATTGATAATGTAGATGTTGTTGTTATAGATTAAAATTGTAATGTTATTGTTGTAATTGTTTAATGAATAATTATAGATTTGTCGGATTCTCTAAATAGAGAGGGTGCGAGTGTGGGTGCAGATGAGATGAATAAATACACCCACACCCACACACATCCCATCTGAATCCAGTATTACGAAAGGATTTCGTGCTCCAAGCTTAATAAATCAAGCCAACATAAACTTTAACAGGAGAGGAGAAGCCTTCCTAAAACTAGGCCCTAAATATATACCAAATAACCCTCATCTCGCTCATATACGTATGAATAATGAGATAGAGTTGGTTGTAAAGAAAGTAAACAAAGTTTTTGTTGAACATGGATGGGCAGTACCTAAACAACAGATACAGGTCTTCAGAGATTCACTCGAAAAACTTCTCATCGAGTATCATGATAGACACTCTCCATCTGTTCAATTGAAAGAAATTAATAACTTAAAAAAAAATTGAAACTACACAAACAGTCATCAGAAAGACTGATAAATCTAAAGTTTTTTATTTAGGAAAAATTGATGATTACAAAATAAAAGCTCAAATATATATGAGAAAGACTAAAGCATATGAAGATTTAGGGATAACAAATCCACTTGAGTCTTTAGTCGAACGAACAAATAATTTTCTTCTTGTTTTATGGGTTAACAAACATATTTCACAAAGTCAATATGAAAAATTAAAGGTCAATAAAGATGAGGCTGAATTAGCCCACCTTTATTTCTTACCAAAAGCACATAAACAAGGGACACTATTAAGACCTATGGTGTCTGGTCTCAAATCTCCAACCATAGCAATATCGAAATGGCTAGATGGTCTGTTAAGACCTCTTTTCAATCGATTAGCAAGCGATATAACTATTGCAAATGGAGCTCAATTAATTAAACAAGTCGAAAAATGGTCGGCTAAGTATCTTACACCAGCCACATCATTCATAACAATGGATGTTACTGACTTATGTACAATGATTCCACAAGAAGGAGGAATAACAGCCATAAAAATACTAATAGAAACATCTGGTTTAAAACAGATCGATGGCGTTAAAAAAGAGATCATTTTAGCTCTTGCCCGATTTGTTATGACCAATAATTATTTCTATCTAAATGGATCATATTATAAACAAATAAAAGGAGGTGCGATGGGCTCACCGCTTACCCTTACAATAGCAAACGCATACATGTATTTTGTAGAACGGCCAATTGCAAAATGGGCCAACAGAACATGTTCGTTATACTATAGATACATGGATGATCTGTTCATCATGTCAAACGTACATGTAGATATATTAAAACGTCTAGTGCGTTTCTGGAATAGACTCGACATTAATATCGAACTTTCCGAATCCATAGGACCTACCCCAGAGTACTTTGACGTAAAATTAGAAAATAGAGGAGGTAAATTGTCATCTGAAGTTTTTCACAAACCATCATATGAACCATATTTTCTCCCTTTCACAAGTATACATGCGAAACATATAAAAGAGAATATTCCATTTGTGACTTTCGTAAGAGCAATACGGTATTCTTCAGATTATAGCGCTTTTAAGAGTGAAGAAGTCCATATATGCATGTCATTACTACTTAACGGATACGCAATAGATTTCATTCTCAAGCAACTAGAAAGAGTTCGACGAACATTTCAATTTGCGACACCGATACGAAAGAGCGATTTGAATATAAGAAAAATCTTTCTAGATGCCGCATATAATAATGTCAAGAAGGCTGCTATTGATTTCAAGATTAATATTATGTGTCATTCTGCCTTTTGCAAAGGAATGCACAGTTTTTCGACCCGTTTTTATAAACTTCGGGACGATTGCTTTTCAGATACAGCTGTTGGCGCAACATGAAACCGATTGTTGGTTCTAAAAGATTAGATAATCTACATGATTATCTTGTCAAAAAGAAACCTAACAAATCATTACTCAGATTTTAAGGCTCTACGAATCGAATTCAATGGACAAAGAATTATGTCTGAAGAGAGTTTTCTTAAATTCATCATCATAAATTAATTAAAGTACCAGACGCACGTGATATTCGAACGATGGCAACGATGGCAACAGGGACATTTGATGTACTCCAACAGTAACAATATCAACAGCCGACAGCAATAAAGACCATGGAACACTACAAATCAACACGTTGAGCTTCGTTCTCCGTATAAGAATTTGTGTTTTTCCTGTCATGAGAGGCCTTTTCAGCCATCGGACATTTTCTGTTTTTTCCTTTGCTTTGTACCATTCGATAGGTCCTTTCGGCCAACGAATCCATTTTTTCGTGTCTCTGATAGGGCCCTTTAGAATTGTTTCTGTAAAGTTTTCCTTTTTGTTTTTTGTAGATTCTGATGAAGTCAAGTTTTTACTTGACAGAAACTAGTCAATAAAACTCTACAAAAGAAGAAAACTTTTATTTATTTATTTCAATTATCTCGAGAGAGTTATTAGTAAAAGATAGATTATTTCTTCATAGAAATAATCGATTACTCTTTTATTCGTAAAAGATTCGACATCAGTATTTTACAGTTCGAAATCATATTATTCAAGGAACACCACAACTACAAACAAGAATCAATGGAATAACAACAAACCATGTTTATTTGACAAATTTTACTCACATTTTGTTTTCAGCACGCGCTAATTTTGATGCATTTGTTTGAGTCGTCGCTATTCCAAATTTGGGTTGTCAAGATACTGATTGGACCAATGGAGTAGTAGTGAATTCAGTAGCTTTGGTCAAACGTGGTAACTGTACATATGTACAGAAGTCTGTATGAGCTGAAAAGTATCAAGTGAAAGGATTACTCATTTACAATGATGGAACATCATCAGATGGTTTTAATCCAATACAGGGAGTGAGAAATAATTTGAATACCACTATTCCAGCCTATTTCTTATCGTATAATCTTGGAATGCAGTTGGTCAATGGAGTGGACAATGCCAGTGTAATTATGGGTATTAATGTTAGTGACGCAAATGGTATTGGAAATATTTGTGCTGATACACAAACAGGAGATGAAACTAAAACAATTGTCGTTGGCGCTCATAGTGATGGAGTGCCAGCAGGAAGTGGGATCAATGATAATGGTTAGAAAGTATTGATCAATCAATAGACTCAGCATTCGTTTTATTTTTATTTAGGTAGTGGTACTGTTGGTATTTTGCTTTTAGCTCTTAATTTAGCTCGTTTATTTCAAACATCTTCTTTGCAATATTCCACATATCAATATCGTATTCGATTTTGTTGGTGGGGTGCTGAAGAACTTGGTCTTATTGGTGCTAGATATCATGTTGAACAGGCTCTCTTACCAAGTACTAACATTGTCGGTGAACGTTTACAAGATTACCTAGTCAATTTAAATTATGATATGTTAGCTGGTCCTAACTATTGTTTTGGTATTCATGATAGTTCAACAGTTCCATTGACAACACCAGAAACAGCTCTAAATGGTACTCGTAGAATTACGGATCTTTTTCGTCAATGGTTTAATAAACAAAAACTTCCTTGGAGTAATTCTTCACTTGGAGGCGGAAGTGATTATGTTCCATTTCTCGCTGCAGGTATAGCAGTCGGTGAAGTTAATACAGGAGCTGGAGGAATTAAATCGGCTAATGAACGAGATCAATATGCAACAGTATTAGGAACAGGAAATGGTGGAATAGCCAACGCTGCTTATGATCCATGTTATCATCAACAATGTGATAGAATTAGAAATATCAATCCATTTGCATACGAAAAAGTTGTTAAATCGGCTGCTCATGCTATTGAATATCTTGGAAGATTGAACGATTTAGAAAAATGGCTTTATCCACAAGGTCAACCAAAGAACTTTGAACTAGTCAATCGATATCAGTTATATAATATTCATAACGATCTAGATCTTAATTGGGCTTGAATCAATACATTTTATAGATTTTTGTAATCATGACTAATTCAAAGAGTTTGGACAGATAAGAAAAATATTTTTAGAAAATTTCAATTCAATAAAACTAAACTATAGACAGAATCGAAATGTATTTCTTTAAGTTGACAACAAAATAAAACTATTAATATCTATTAGAAACAGAAAAGTTATATATGTATAACAGTTCGAAATTAAAATCTAATTGTCTTGCACATGTCCATTATGATTACGCTATGTTGTTTGTTTTGACTATTATATTAGGCAATTGTGTATAGATATATTGACTGTTTTAATGAAATGAACAAAATGATGAAAGAAATCTGAAGTTGTTCAAATATATGAAATTCGACTTCTATTAAAGAAACGATGTCTAGGTAAATAGTCGAACATATCTTATTGAATAATATACATTCATCAATCAAACACTTAGATCTGTGACAAGAATTTATTAAAAGTAAATGTAGAAGCCAAGAAAAGTAAATATGGACGATTTGTCATTGATTTTTTTGGCAATTGATAGAACGGAAAAAGAAGATAAATTATCATTAATATATGAAGTTTTTCATACAATATCGTCTCTTTCTATACTATCTTTCCTATATTTTTTTCTTTTACTGTCTTATATACAATAGTATATCTTTCTTAGGAATAATAATTATACTATATTGAACCGATAAGTAACCTCGAAGAAGAAACTGTTTTGGCAGACTAAATAATAATGATCGTAGATTCTTTTTCATCTCACTTTTTATGAAATTTTTCAAACAAGTGACGCTTTATAACTTAACTATCATTATTGACGAGATTTACTATAAAATTCGTCCAATATTTGTTGTTATTCAAAACTTTTCAATTAAGTCTTAACAGGATATGTTGGTCTTTTTAACTATATTTTCAAATCTTAATTATAGATGTTTATGTGAATAATGAATAATAACAATAACAAAATAATGTCAAGTTTATAAATAGAGAATATCAACTCGGTTAGTGTGTTACAAATAGAAGAAAATGGAAATGTCACAGATTCTCCACGCCATATAAATCGATGAAAACGATTTGATATTTGTCTTTATTTAATAAGGACTTGATATAAATTATCAACATATCATCAATAGTTCCACAGCACTTATTTGTGCTGATATCATAGAGAATGTTAACATATGGTTTTATTTCTTATCGATCGCATAAAACAAATATATCTTTGTTTAATCGATCAATCCAATTATTCCATACTTAATTATTCATCTCAATATAGTTTCCATAAGATTTTCCATTTGATTTTTGGAATAATTAAATCTATGGTCACATTTTACTCTATCAAAAAGACATTGGAAAAGTTTAACAAAAGTATTCTGAAATAACTTATTCATTTTTACACAGCTCAAAGCAACATATTACTGGAACTAATAGATCTTACAAAAAGATTTACATAGCTCATCTATTTTCAAATGCATGATTGTTGCTTCCAGATAATATGTTTTGCAAAACTTGTGCTTATCACATCTCCTATCTCAGAAGAATTTGCCAGAACACCCAGTAACTAAAAATGACTTAGAAACATATTGATATTAATATATATGGTCGTATTTATTCGATGATCGAAATGCTACTTGTACATGAAGATAATCCCCACATAAAAAATAATGCCAATTCGATTGTTATTGGAAATGTCAACATAAGTTAGTATCAATGATTTACAAAATAGAGATCTATGTACTATACTATCATTAAAATTAGTTAACTATTCATTAAACAAAGAAACTATCAAGCAGAATAATTGTCAAAACTTATGATAACATTGTTTGATAATCAGATCTAAAACATATTCTTTTCATCATACGTAATTACGAAAGAAGAACATTTTACCATTTTTTTATCTAAAAGTAGAGAAAATATCAACTCTATCAAAAGAAAAGTTTCGATACGTTTTCTTATATGATTGAACGATAAAATTGTTAATATTGTTTCAATACTAGTCATTTATCTTGAAAACAGTGTATCTCTACGATGTTTTTTTGATGTATGGAATTCAAAGTGCACAAAGAAATACATAATAGGAATGATGAATGCATCTCAAAAGTCTGGACACTTTTGAATTCTTGTTTCATAAAAAGCATTACTTTACAACTAAGTGGAGCTGCAGAAAAAAAACGAAATTATGCTGTAAACAAGTTCGATTTTGCTTGTTGTTGACATACACACACACAAACGCTCTCTCTACTACTTTTTTCATCATCGACAAATGACATGAAACAGTTAGAGCAAGATCAACAATAATGCAAGTGAAGATTAAAAGCATAGTGAATTTTGCATTAAACAACAAAATAGAAACTAAAAAAAGAGTTAACAATTTGAAATTCTAACAATAATGGAAAAAACTGAACAACTTCACGAGAAATCTACATTACATGATGATCATCTTGAAATATTTAGTCTTCTGTGGATTAGGAATGAAGTTAACAAAAATGAGAAAAATCAAAATAATGAACATAAATTACGTGCAATTATTAATTATTTGAAAATATTTGAACATATTGATGAATGTCAACAATACATTCAAACAATGTCAAAAGAAGATCGTTCTGTTTTAATCGTTAATGATCAATTTAGTCGTGAACTAATACCAACTATTCATAATCTTTGTCAAATATCTTCTATTTATATTTATTGTTCTAATGAAAACAAAAACAAGCAATGGAGTAAACAGTTTCCTAAGGTTATAGATTTCTAATGAAATTTTCTTGTAATTGTATAATTATTGCAGATTAGAGCCATAACTAATCAATTTGACGAAATTCTTACTCGAATTGAAGTCGATCAGAAGATACGAATGAAAATAGAAGAACCGTTATCAATTAAACCATTGAATGTTGACGATGAAATAAATCTACCGACAAAAAAACTTGATGAATCTTGCATTTATTTTCAAACTCTTATCGATATTTTACTTCGAATACGATCTAATGGAGAAGATATAAATGAACTTTTTTATCTTTGTAAGAAAGAATACAAGGGTAATAGAAATCATCTAGCTCTTCTTCGAGAATTTCAACAAAATTATTCATCTAATGCAGCAGTACAATGGTACATTCATAGACCATTTTTACAGAAAATATTAAACAAAGCTTTTCAATTAGAAAACATTGATATACTCTATCTATTTCGTTCATTTATTCGAGATATTTATCATCAATTAAGATACAATCAATATCAATCACCAGTTCGATTATATAAAGGTCAATTAATGTCAAAAAAACAATTGAATTACTTAAAAAAGTTCACTGGAAAATTAATTTCTGTCAATTCATTTTTATTAACAAGTACTGATAGAGAAACAGTCATCAATGATTTAGAAGAAACGACTCCTTCAAATAACATGCAAAAAGTATTATTCGATATTGATGTTGATCCTGGAGAAGATATTTCAATACCTTTTGCAAATATAAACTTAGATTATGATCAAGATGATAATAAGAATATATTATTTATGGTCGGCTCTATTTTTCGACTTGTTAGTATTTCTTATGACAAAGATAAAAGATGTATCATTAAAATAAAATTATGTAATGAAAATGAACCAGATTTACAACAACTGTTTGAAAATATGAGAAAAGAAAATGGATATGGAGAAACAAATCTTCTTGTATTAGGAATGATATTAAGAGATATGGGTAAATTTGATCTTGCTGAAAAATATCTATTTCGTATGCTCAAACAACTTCCTCCTAATGATCCATTACTTGATGCTTTGTATCCTGCACTTGGTTTAATAGCAAAAGATAAAGATGATTATGATAAGTGTTTACGTTGGTATCGTAAAGCATTAAAGATTTACAAGGTAACTCGTCAATCTGATTATCTTACTATTGGTGATACATACAATACTATTGGCATGATTTATCATGATAACAAATATCAATATGACAAGGCATTAGACTATTTCAATAAGGCTATTTTACTTTTCAAACAATCTGATGCTGAGATGCATCCAATAATGGCTAAACTTTATGATAGTATTGGAGCTGTTCACGAAGACCAAAGAAATTATTCTCAAGCACTTATATATTATCAAAAATCGCTTAATATTAAGAAAAAACATCTTCCTACTAATCATCTTGGTTTCAGTGTATCATATAAAAACATTGCTGCTGCTAATGGATATCTTGGACATTATGATACTGCATTAGAATTCTACAAAAAAGCACTCGACATTCAGATGAAATCATTTTCACTAAAACATCCTGATATTGCTGTTACATATGCAAATATGGCTGCTATATATGCTGCTAAGAATCGATCACAACAAGCATTAACCTACTGGCATAAAGCAAACGATATCTTACGTAATACACTATCTCCACAACATCCATTAGTTATTAAAATTGACGAGGAAATTCGACTTGCTGCATCAAAAGTTACAAACCATGAACCAATAAAAAAGACAGAACGAAAACGTGTAACAGCAACTTAAAACAATTCATATTTCATTTTATTCTAGAATGAGAAAATAAAAAGAACTGATTTTATTTGAAAAATAATATCATTCTTGTTCACATAGCACTGATTCCTATTTATTCAACTTTTCAAGAATTTGATTGATTTTATTTTTATCTGTCTAGCAGTGTGGCTGTGGTTGTGATTCCTCTCTTAACTCATACCCACACCCACCCCCCGTATGTTGAATTTGCTGCCGTAAATAATATTTGTTAGGCGCACTTTATTTATACACAAAGAAAAAAAAATGATAATCAGTTATCAATTGAACATAGCCAATTGTAATTAGACGTCAGTCGATTCATTTTTCTGTTAGGAAGGTAGTGCTTTATAATATATCGAGAATCAAGAGATTTTGATTATAATACGCATTTTAAATAGTTTATATTTATTTCTTTAATTTTAGTCTGTATCTCAACTTTTCGTTTTTCATCTCAAATGTTCGTAAAACTGCTTTAAAATTTTCCTATAGTCCGTGATTAAATAGATAAACTAAAATTTTTGTTCTATTCTTCATCTCAAACATTCGTAAACCCACTTTAAATTTTTTCTATAGTTCGTAATTAAAATGAATCGATCGAAATCTTTTTTTTTTCTTTCTTCTATCTCAAAGGTGCATTTTTCATCGCAAACATTCGTAAAACTGTTTTCAAATGTTTCCATTTGTTTGTAATTAGATGAATCAATTAAAATCTTTTTATCTGTTTTCTATCTAAAAGTATTCATTTATCATCATATAAAATTTTAAGAAGGAAGGGATAATAAATGAAGTAATTTGTATTCTATTTTTTATTACTTAATCAAAATGAATAATTGAAAATCCATTTCAAAAATTATACAACAAATCATTTCAAATACATTTAGAACATTTTTTCCTTTTTTTAACCCTTTCTCTAAAAGAATCATAAAAGTTTAGTAATAAAAAAGCCATTTAATACAGATAAATACATCTCTGAGATTTTAAGTCAACTTGAATGAATCTTTAAATATCAATTAAATTCAAGTATTGATTTTTTTTTAATATTACTAAAATAATGCGATAAAAATGAAGCCATGCTAGTCTCTTGACTTATTTTAATCCATTTAACATATGACCACAAAAATGAGAATAAAATCTTGATACTATAGAATAAATATTATTATGCTCTTCATACTTTTTGATGGTGGGTGTGGTTGTGGGGTTGTGGGGATGGGTGTTATCCACTAGAACACATACCCATATCCACCCACACCTCACACCCACGACCACCACCTGCACCCAGACCCCACACCCTCATAGATTTCGCTAAGCGAAATACATATTAAAAATGCCTCTTAGCTCGATTCCTGCTTAAAATGGTCTTGTAGCAACATTTTGTGGAACCAGTCTTTGCACATGACACTTTGCTCAACTAATTTATAAAAAGTATGTTATTGAAAAATGTTTTCTCTCCATCATAATGAAAATTCTATGAGATCTCATAAACTTTCATACTAGTTTACTAAATAACACATTCTCTGAAAATTTCTGAGTACGTTTTGCTTATGAATAAGTTTTTTGTATGAACACAATAGGCATCATTCAATACAGTCTCTCTAGCTAACTTTTGAGATATATCTTCATTACAATGCAACGCAGCTTACACATTATGATTCATCGAAAATTTCAAGCTTGGTAATGTATAGTCTAGATGGTATTATCACGTTAATATCTCTATTACTTTTTTAATTCATTATAATGCATCGAAAAATCTCATACATTGCAATTACTGAAAATATCTATCGAAATCAAGCCGCTCTAATTCGTTAATTTCCATAAACACTGTAAATCAGTGAAAAGTGTCCGATTTTATTTTCGGTTTAAACTGGAAAATGCTCATTTTCTAGTGTCTTTTCGATAGTTGATTAGGAACCAATTGAAATAAACTATGATCAATAAAGATTAATGGAACACTAATATGGTTCATGTCACATTTATTTCTTTTATGAAATAGGAAGTTAGATTACATTCAGAGGTGTGAATGAGTGTGGTTCTTATCTTCAATCACACCCTCCACAGTTCAAATTGATGTTGAAAAAGATGCAAACTCTGGAGGCCATTTACTTTTAGTACACTGGAATAATGATTTTAAAAATAGGTTATCAGTGGTTAGACAATAGTTCTGCATAGATTCAAATGAAAAATCTAATATTTTTATCATGAACTTTTCAGGTTATTCTTCATTAAATGGCAAGATACAATCATCGTTCACAATTATGAATACGATAGTTATACATCTGTAAGTCGTGACCATTCTTTTAATTATTGATTTCAACAAAAGCTTATCTTTCATGCTTCTTAAATTTATTTTTATTATTTCAATAGAAACTTTACGTGTGTGTCACTGTGAAATATTAAACTCATGTACAGGCGGCAAATTGATATTTTAAATCGTAGCATATTTTGACTTCTTTGAAACGACCTTTTGAATCCATATCGACTCGGATTGCCGATGCAAATAGTGCCGGTGCGTTGAGTGTAAGAAATTCATTTTTGATTGCTGTGGCTGATGCTGTATTTAATAGATTATGTTCTGGTAGTTTAAGACTTTTGAAAAGTTCTTCCGTCACTGTGTAATAATCAACTGCTTCTGAATAGTGACAAGTACCTAAAGCAAGAAAATAAAGTTTAAGATCGAATAGTTTGATATTTGAAACAAATACTAATCAATGTACTGAAATAATATTTTAGGGTATTGAATTTTGTTCAGACTCATAGTTTTTCTTTTTGCAGTTCTATTTAAGATAGTATGACTGGCTTGATTTTTTTAAATAGATCGATGAAACGTTTAGTTAACTGCTAAAAATGTTAATTTTCAAAATAAAAGAAAAAAGAACTGATCAGCATTCATAAACGAATTCTAATCGAAGGAAAGATCAGTTGAAGAGAACAAATAAGCAAAAGAAAATAAATCACTTAATGTATTTACCATGTTTCTCCCATTCTCCTTGAACGAGATCTTCATCAGGCATAATACAGAAATATCTTTTAACAAATGTTGCATTCAATTGAGGTTCATCACGACAATTTCGTGGATGAGCTCGAACATTGGCAGCTTTCGATGCTTGAGGCCATAAACCATGAACAATCAAACCGAACGAATTACTTGGATGACATTGAAATTTTTTATCACGTGCTGCTTGAGTTAATGATGCACAATATGTTGGACTCCTTAAAACATCAATTAATTTATATTAATAAATGTCAATCTTTATCGAAGTTTATTCAAATTCAAAAACTAACTGAGAACAAGCATTTTTCTTATGAAGTTTCTATCGAATATCATCTTATTTTCTAAAACTCGAATGGTTTATCGAGATTCTGATTCGACAAAAAAACAATCTGACAAAGTCGGGTAGAGTCTCCACAGAAAAAAAAAAACTTTCTTACAGAATGCGACTATTTGATACTATTTAATATTCTAAAATTCGATAATGTTAGTTCCACATTAAAATTACGGAGTTCATTATTGTACATGACAATATGATTGCTATATTCTTGTCTTAACAAGATTTAATCCGAGTGATTTTATCAAATATTAGAGAATAAATATGTCTTTATAATAATTATTTTCTATGAAATATTCAGTCAACTTACCATGATAATGCAAGCATTATATAGCTTGCTTTAGTCTGTGTATTCGACCATTCATTTGTTTTTGATTTCCAGTTGAAATCATAATTTGTCTTCAAACTTGATGGAAGTGGACACACTTCACCAGTAATTCTGTATCCAAATGTATAACCCAAGATTAAGAAGAAGATAATTAACTTGAAAGTCATTTTTTGAAATGTATAAAAACGAAGATGAAAATTTTTAATTGTGATATTATTCAGAAAAACCAGTAAGTAATGTCAATCGATATGACAAAAGAGAACAATCGATTAATGGTCGAATTTTTTTCTCTTACATTTAACATTATTCAATGGATATTTATAATATTTTTTAGAACTTTTGAAACTTCAATATAGTAGACAACAAATAGTCTCTGATGACATTTATGGATATTTCAGTGATATATTGAGAAAAAAACAAATCTGTCGTAAAGATACAGATAATCGTAAAATATTTATCGTTCTTCTTATCTTGCGTATTACATTGAAAAGTTTATATTAAAAACATCCAATTAAACTCAACATGGTTTAAAATGGCTCCGAAATTGTAGTAATATCAACAAATATTTAAATAATAATTAGAAAGACATTAATTGAATTACGTCAAGTCATTTTTTAGCACGATGTCTCAGCTATTTTGTTTTACATTTTAGTCCAATTTTGACAGATTTATCTTTTCATTTTGAGATAAAAGCAGAGCATTCGCCGAAGGTAAAGTTACTAGCCCCACCCTCTAAGATAATTTTTATTGTTATAATTATTGATATACACTATAATTTATAGCTTCAATAAATGAATTACGTCAATGATGATTGTTCTCAAAGAACTTCTAATCTATTTACTAGAAGTGACAAACTTTATGAAATTTACAACATCGAAACTATTCAAAACGTTTACTTCAAATTGATTCTATGCATAGAAAGTATCGAAGAAAAATAATTTAAGTAATTGAACTCATTTTAATTCGATAGGTTCCTTTATTTTCTGGCATTTAACTTACAGCCGAAGTCCTGCATTCGTATTTCGACCAGCGTTCTTAATGATTTCAGAGAGTTTCGACAAAATCTAATTATAAAGTTATTCTTATAATCTCAACTGAAAACTGAACAATATTTGATTGTATCAATATGCCGTAATATAAGAGCAATCAGTCGGTTACTTGATGATTCTAATGGTGAGAATTATTGACTTGAGAAAAAGAATTTTTCATTCTCAATTATAATCGAATAATCATTGAATCAATCAATATTTGTAGTTAAGGAGATGAATAGGCTATCACAACACGAAACGTTCTTTGAAAGGAAAATCTTTCAATATTTGATTAACAAATAATACAATCGTCAT